ATATATATAGAAATGCAAAGGGATAAGAATATCTAAGACACTCTTGAGGAAACAAAATAGCAGGACCGTTCTGCTATTTAGCAAAACTTAGTTATAAGCCCACAGTGATTAAAACAGTGTGGTTGTGGTGGAAGAATAGACAGTTCTGAAATAGACAGACACACATAAAGACATTTGCTTTACGATGAAGAGCAGTGGGATAAAGATGAAGTTTTCAGTAGGTGTTACTAGGACAACTAGATAGCCACATGGACAATATAAAATACAATTGTAACCTATCTCATATCATACACAAAAATCAAATCCAGATGGATTACACACCTATAGGTGAAAAGCAAAATAATATAACTTTGAGAATACAAGGGAATATATTCTTGATTCCAGGGTAGGGAAATACTCTTTAAACAAGACACAAAATGACTACCTTAAAAAAAGAATGATAAATTGTACTATTTTAAAACTAACAATTCTATCATCAAAACACTCCATAAACAGAACTAAAAGGCAAGCTACTCAGTGTGAAGATATAACACATGTAACTGACAAAAGGCTTACAGCCGACTAAAGCACTACCACAGATCAGTAAGAAAACCCCAATAGAAAAATGGGCAAAAGACCTGAACAGGAATCCATAAGAGGACACGCAAATGTTCAATAAACAAATGAAAAGGTATTCAATCTCACTAGCAACAAAGGAAATGCAAATTAAAACCATGAGACATTACACCCATAGATCAAAAAGTTGAGACATTATAAAAATACCAAGGAAGTGCAGCAACAGAAGTTCTCAGACCACTGGCAAACATGTACGGTGGTACAACCATTTTGGAAATTGGATTGATATTCTCAGGTAAAGTTGATGGCAATGTTTTGCAGGCAGCTTCTAAAATGGCTCCAGTGATCCTTGTCTCCCCAGGATTAACATTCTTGTGTAACCTCCTCCATTTGAATGAGGGCTGGACCTAGTGACTTGCTTCCAATAAATAAGGCAAAAATGATGAGATATTCCTTCCCAGATTAAGTTATAAAAGATTGTGATTTCCATCTTGCTGGCACGTTCTCTGGCACTTCTTGCTTGCTCATTCTGATGAAGCAAGCCACTATGTTGTAAGCTGTCTGAGGAGAGGTCCATGTGGCAAGAAACAGAGGGCAGCTTCTGGTCAATGGCACACAGGAAATGCATCCTGCCAACAACCATGTGAGTGAGCTTGGAAGCAGATTCTTCCCTGGTGAGTCTTGAGATGACTGCAGCCTCGTGAGAAACTCTGAGCTAGAGGACCCAGCTAGGCTGTGGCCAGGTTCCAGACCCACAGAAACTGTGAGATAATATTGTTTTAAGCCACTAAATTTTTTTTTCCTTTTTTTGAGTTTTTTTTTAATTTCAGGGGTACATCATTGTATTTTGATTTCTGTGTAGATTACATCATGTTCACCACCCAAAGACTAATTACAATCCATCACCACACACATGTGCCTAATCACCCCTTTCACCCTCCTGCCTTCCCCCTTCCCCTCTGGTAACCACCAATCCAATCTCTGTCTCTATGTGATTGTTTGTTGTTGTTTATATCTTCTACTTATGAGTGAGATCATATGGTATTTGACTTTCTCCCTCTGACTTATTTCACTTAACATAATACCCTCAAGGTCTATCCGTGTCTTACAAATGGCCGGATTTCATCGTTTCTTATGGCTGAGTAGTATTCCATTGTGTATATATACCACATCTTCTTAATCCATTCATCCCTTGATGGGCACTTAGGTTGCTTCCAAGTCTTGGCTGTTGTGAATAACGCTGCAATGAACACAGGGGTGCCTGTATCTTTACGCAGTCACGTTTTCATGTTCTTTGGATAAATACCCAGCAGTGGAACTCTCATACCCATATGATAGTTCTATTCTTAATTTTTTGAGGAATCTCCATACTGTTTTCCATAGTAGCCCCACCAGTTTGCACTCCACCAGCAGTGTATGTGAGTTCCCTTCTCTCCACATCCTCTCCAACACTTGTTGTTTCCCGTCTTGTTAATTATAGCCATTCTGACGGGCGTGAGGTGATATCTCATTGTAGTTTTGATTTGCATTTCCCTGATAGTTAATGATGTTGAACATCCTTTCATGTGCCTGTTGGCCATCTGTGTATCTTCTTTGGAGAAATGTCTGGTTAGGTCTTTTGCCCATTTTTTAACAGGGTTGTTGGTTTTTTTGTTGTTGAGATGCATGAGCTCTTTGTATATTTTGGAGATTAAGCCCTTATCTGTGGTTTGCAAGTATCTCCTCCCAGTTGTTAGGCTGTGGTTCTGTCTTGTTGACGGTTTCCTTTGCTGTGCAGCTTTTCAGTCTCATGTAGTCCCATTTGTTTTTGTTACTGTTTCCTTTGCCCAGTCAGACGTGGTGCTTGAAAATATGCTGCTAAGACCAATGTCGAAGAGCGTACTGCCTATGTTCTTTTAGAATTTTCAAGGTTTCAGGTCACACATTCAAGTCTTTAATCCATTTTGAGTTAATTTTTGTGTATGGTGTTAAGATAATGGTCTACTTTCCTTCTTTTGCGTGTGGCTGTCCAGTTTTCCCAACACCATTTATTGAGGAGACTTTCTTTTCTCCATTGTATGTTCTTGGCTCCCTTGTCGAAAATTAGCTGTCCATAGATGTGTGGGTTTATTTCTGGGCTCTTGATTCTGTTCCATTGATCTGTGTGTGTTTTTGTTAAGCCACTAAGTTTTGTAGTAACTTGTTACGCAGCAATAGCTAACACAAATGTAAACCATGCTAGATTGTCTGTGTTTACCCAGAACCACAGCTCCCTCCCGTGTTTGAGAACTAAGCTGCTGAGGATCCCTTTCCTGTATGAATCCTGGTTTGTTACCCAGTGTGAGGAACTCACATGAGATCCAAGGCATAAGTGATTTCCACCAGAATCAAGGTTTCCAGACCTACTCCACCTACAGCCTTCCCCATCTCTGTTGGAGGAACTCCATCCTTGTAGCTGCCAGCCCAAAACTCTTGGAGTTTTTTTTTTTCTTTTTCTAACACAGTACATCTGATCCATAAAGAAATCCTGATGGCTGTACTTTTAGAATATATCCCAAATCTGACCATTTTTACCACCTCCTCTGCTATTCTGCTGGTCCAACTCCTCATTATCTCTTGCCTGGATTACTGAATAGTTAGTTTACTTCATCTTCCCCAGCATCTACATTTGTCATCTTACAGTCTATTCTCACCAAATGCCCAAGTGATGCTTTTAAAATGTCAAAGCATGAAATGTGCTGCTCAAAACCAGGAACAGCTCCCATTCCAGAGTAAAATCAGTCCTTACTGTGGCCCACAATGACCTACACGATCTTGCCCCGACACCTTTCTGACCTCATCTCTACCAGTCTGCTCCTTGTTCCCTCTGCTTGCAGCCACATTGGCCTCTTTGCTCTTCCTCAAACACACCAGGCATGCTCTGCCTTATGCCTCTGCACAGGCTGTTCCCTCCTTTCCCATAGCCTTTCTCAAAGGGGGTTCTGCAAATAATCACCTGGAGGGCTGATTCAGTAGGTCTGGGGCGGGGCTTGAGAATCTGCATTTCTAATAAGTTCCCAAGAGATGCCGATGCTGCTGGTGTGGGGACCACTCTTTGAGAACCACTCTCCTAGGGCATAATTGTCTGCAATATATTAAATTCTCTCCTATGCATCTAGAAGGATAATTATTATATACCATCCAAGGGAGAATTGTGAAAATAATCACTAGCACTATTTTGTGTTCTGTAGAACTCCAGGTGAAACAGGCTGTGAAATAGCTTTAGGACTAACTCTTCATCTTCAAGTGTCAACTCCTTAATGAGATCTACCCAGATGACCCCATTTAATAGTGTGACCTCTCCCAGCTCCATTTTCTCCACTCCTCTTACTTTGATCTCCTTTTTTCTTTTTCTCTCACAGCACTTGGGATCTAACATACTGTGATTTACTTACTTGTTTATGGTTTACTGTCTCTCTCCCCAAAACTAGAATGTAAACTCCAAGATGCAGGGATCTTTGTTTTTTATCCCAAGGGCTGAACAGACTTTTTTGAATTTAATGAAATATTTGAATTGAAAATGAATTGAATCCTTTAATTTCCTCAGCAGAATATAAACTCATTTTTAAAAAAGGTACTAACATAACTACATGTGTTCATTGGAAAAGAGCACAGTAGTGGAAAAAACAGATCTGAGATCAGCTCAACCTGCATTCGAAAGTCAGTTTCACTATTTACTAAATATTTCCATAAGGTTAATGTCCATCTCTCGGGCTCTGTGTCTTTATTTTTTAAATGGTATAACAGTAGGTGACTGTTAGAATTAGACAAATGTATACAAAATATCTAGCACAGTTCTTGTTACCAAAGAAGTGCTCAAAAAATATTACTTCCCCTTTGATGTCTCACTTCCTCTAGCTCACATTTCATTTAAAGTGCAAGTTAACTTAAATGCCAATCTTTTAGTTCTAGATAGAATTATATGTAAAGGCACACTTTAAATAAAAATCTCTAATGACCGTAGGTAGAATTCTTTTAAAACTTAACATTAAAACCTTTCCCTAACCTTTCCATAGTACCTTCAGGTGAAAAGTCTTCCAAAATATATCAAATGTAATGTAGAATAATGATAATACTTTGATATTTACTGATACTGAGAAAATATTCAAATTCAACCCCCATAAAATATTAAAATCGCCACTGACAGAGTATATCCATAAATGTGTTTCTAGGCAAGAGGCTACTTGTGTTCTCATGGCCTTGCTAAATGGGACATAAACCTCACTGCAAAACTAAAGCCTCACAATTCTTATCAGAAGTATTTTTAGAGTGAGAAATAATTTTTACAAATGTGAATATTCTGTCTACCCGCTTTAGATATAAGTGCCCTGTACAAGAACACAGCAACAATAACTGCTCTCACAACTGTAGTGAAACGTACATATGGTATTTCTACTGTTTATACTGCACATTCATGCATGACCTGATATTGCTGAAATAGTCTTTATTTCTGAACATTCCAAAACAGCAGTGTACACAGTAACAAATATTAGGTCATATACCATAAGAAAGCATTCATTAGTGCAAATGGGTTTTGTAAAAGGTCTATCAAAAAGATTTATTTGCTTTAAAATGCATTCATTTCCAGAAGCATTGTTAATAAAACATTACAGTTTCATCCTCTGTAATAAAGTATTGAAAATCAATTGTGGTACAGTAGCAAACATTGCAGGTATTAAGTGCAATGAGCTTGTGATGCCATTATAAATAGGAAACCCATGTATGACAATAAATTAACAATGAAAAAGACAAGACCATTGAACTCTGCTGTCTGGCTATCTCCTTGCAATGCTTCAGATTACGTTGTGCTCATTCAACATAAAATTATGTCTCTCAAATTGTATGGTGGATTTTTGCTGATATATCCCTAGAGCTAAAAAAATAGTACCTTACCACAAAAATATTTTTATGGCACAAAATTTAAGTTGTTCCATAGTGGTTCACATAGGTGTAAAAAGAAATAGGCACAAAAAATAAAATTCCTGTAAACTATAAAAAAGTAAATCTCAAAGCATACATTATAGAACCTAGTTGTAAATATGCAGTGTATTAAAATACAGAACATGTAATGGGAAGATGTTTAGAACACGTAAGTAAATCGAGTTACTTTAAAAAACTCATATGGCAAAGAAAGCATTATTGATCCATCTCCATTCTCTCAAAAAGTATTCAGGTACATAGCAGGTCTACAAAAACTTCCTAGATCTAAGTGTCACAATACTGCAACCATGGATTTGAGAATGTTGCAGTACCTCAGGCAAATATTTAAGTGCAATAATTAGTCTCTGGTGATTGGTCCATTGAAAAACAATGCAGTAAATATGTTAAAATGCAAAAGGGAAAGAATATCCCGACATCCACTGCTACCCAGCCAGCTGGGTAACAAAACCCTCATTTCCACTTCTTTCCCACTCTTCAAGGGTACAAAAAATTGCTTCAGTAGCAACCATCTCTCCAGTTTCCATCCCTCAGAGTGCTGAGTGAAGACAGAGGCTTTGGAGGTTGAAGGAAACTATAAAAGGATGAAAAAAGGAAAGAGATCGTTAATAATCCTGTAAGTCACATCACTTACTGTGACCCACTCTGCTGTATATGCTCCTCCACTGCGGGAGTGACAACCTCTCGGCACCTCCCCAAGTGCACCTGTGTTTCTGGGCCTTCAACAGGATCGTCTGCTGACACCTAGTTCTCAGCAGGGCCATGCACGTCATACGGGCACAAGCAGACTTGCAACAGAAGTGAAAAATGATCAAAGCCTTAGTGTATAAAGAATATTTTAAAATCAGGAAGAAAAAGATAAACTCCTCAACAGAAAAGTGGCCTAAAAAACATAAATCGTTACTTCATTGAATACAAATAGCAAATTAATGTGAAGAAATTTTCAACTTTAAAAAAAATCAAAGACTTGCCTATCATATTGGCAAAGAATTTAAAAAGAATAATACCTTTGCCTAAGTTTGGGGAAACAGATCTTCTTATCTAGTCTGGCAGTGACCACCCTTCCAGGAGGTTAGTTTGGAGACATATATCCAAGGGTAAATGGATGGGTCACAATAACTCATCTACATCAAATAACGTGATTCTCTTCTGCCATAAACATAACACAGCTCTGCATTCGCTGCGGAGAATAAGCCACAGTTTACTGAATAAACATGCACCAAAACGATGTCTATCTGGGTAGCAAGATTATGGGTCAGCCTTTATTTACTTTTGTGTGTTTTTCAATAGTTTCTGAATTTTTTTTTTTTTGTGAGGAAGATCGGCCCTGAGCTAACATCTGATACCAATCCTCCTCTTTTTTCTGAGGAAGACTGGCCCTGAGCTAACATCCGTGCCCATCTTCCTCTCCTTTATATGGGGCGCCGCCACAGCATGGCTCAACAAGCAGTGCGTCGGTGCGCACCCGGGATCCAAACCAGTGAACCCTGGGCCCCCACAGCAGAGCGAGCGCACTTAACCACTTGCGCCACCAGGCCGGCCCCCTGAATTTGTTTTTGATCTGAGCAGCTATTACTTCTAATCAGAAAACAAAAAGCTAAACTATTTATACATACTGACACATAAAGAAACATTACTTGTTCCCACATCTCTTTCAAACTTGCACTACGGTTCCCTCCGTCTCCTCCTTCATATCCTAATTTCTTGGAAGAGTTGTCTGCATTTACTGCCTCCACTGTCTCATCTTCCAAACTCTCCTCAACCCATAGTTATGGAATTTTTTTAACGTCAAACACTCCAGGATATCCAGTTCAAGAAGGGGACACCGTGACCATGAACGCGTCTAATATGTGCCCTGCAAATAATCTGGAATTTTGAAAAATAAATTCTACCTTGACCATACCGAACTTACCAACATAAGCTGATAAAATCCCAGCTAAACATCACTAAGATGATTTTAAACCATGAGTGTGGGGGGGAGGATGTGCACACATGTGCCTAATACATTTTTGCTCATTTTCATCAAGAATTATTAATTCAACCAATATTTGCAGTCCTGTCCTGTGCTGGGCATAGTTCATGGCATTGGGGATATATATATCAGTGAACCAAAGAATCAACTACCCCCTTCGTGAGACTTATGTTCCAGTGAGGAGAGTCAGACCGTAAACTAATAGATAAATAGAATATGTAATCTATCAGATGGTGGTAAATGCTATAGGGAAATAAAAGGAGAAGGGGAACTCTTATAGGAGTTGTTAACATTGGACAGAGTGTCATCTGAGCAAAAACCTGAAGGTAGGAGGGAGCAGGCCGTGCAAATAACCTGGGGGAAGGAAAAGACGAAAGCTCTGGAGGGGCACTTACCTGGTAAATTAACGCAAAAGCAAATAGTGCACAGGAGTGAAGTGCTGAGGGAGGGAGGGAAGGTGAGATCAGAGGGAAGGGGACCTGACCACACAGACACACCCCTATCCCATCACTTTCCAGAGGAAGGAGGACACAAGGCAGGCCATAAAAGGTAGGGTGACCTACTAGGGTTAGACTGAGATAAAGGAAAAGTCAAGAGGGTTCTGGGAGCAGTTTCTAATATCAAACTGCAAATGAAGTTACGTAGACAAACAAAGATTGTTACCTTCTAACAGGTTGTGCAATTTTGCTTCGAGGCAAGTTACTCCCATTTATTGCCAATGAAGGTCTTGGAAGCGCACTGCGGCCCATTATCCCAGAAGCGGCAGCTTTGTTAGGTGTGGGGATTCCTGTGCTGGAATGTAACTGTAAGCCGTTGGATAAAGGCATATTACTGCTGCCTTGAACGGTTGGACTCACGTAGGCCGTGGCTTTAAGAGGCTGTCGGACAGACACTGGGAAATGCCCCACGCTGTGGATTCGGTGTTGAAGCTGTCCTGGTGATGGAACTAGAAGAGAAAACGACATGCACATGAGAGAAAACTTCTACCGCTGTCTAAATGTGTGTTATATTCAAAAAAGCCGATATTGTCTGAAAGAAAAAGCCGATATTGTCTGAAAGAGTAATATATATATAGAAGTAGATAAATGAAATGTGGGTTCCAGACAGCATTTAGTACTGGAAAATTCTAATTTCTGACAAGAGAGTCTCGTATTTTTTCAATCAGCAACATTTTTGAGTGCCTAACTATATTTAGACGCCAGTTAAAAACAACCTCCTTTGTTTTAACAAATTTGATCATCTCTGTGTTCTCAAAGGACAATTCTTCCTTGCTTGCTTGGAAGACACTGGGATTTCTTGATGGTTGCTTTGGGGATGGTTTCAAGAAAAGTACAAGGAGATGATTTAATAGCTGTAATTATAGAAAGGCAGACAGGTGACACTGGTAGGTACAAACAGCTTATTATAGGTATATTTCTTAAATAGTGTTTCATCATGACATTTACCTATCTCATAGGGTTGATGGGAAGATTAAATGAGTTCATCCATATAAAGCCTTATAGTGGTACCTGGCATTTAGTAACCTCTCAACAGTGCCAGCTATTATTACATTGATAACGAGAGCAAAATCTGTGAAATGAAGGGAGCTCTCTGGGTTAAGAACCCTTAAAAACTTCATCAATGGCCTAGCATTGTGTATCATTTCACATTAAAAAACAATGAACTATTTGGCAGAAATTTTTAAATTTTATAATTCTTTTCTCCAAGGAAAATATATTAATCACAAATTTCATGCAAACTTATGCACACACCTCTGCCTGCTGTTCACTAACAACTCTAGCCCTTGCTGCCCTAGTCTGTGCAATTCAGTTAAACAAAAACAGACCCTGTTTTCTAAAACAGTCTAACTGATTTGAACTTACCTAGCCATAAAATATACAATAAATATCCTTTTGAAATAAAAATAAGAGAGGAGAAAGACAAAAAATGTCTATGGTTTTATTTAATATCTCTTGAAAATGTTTCCTTAAAATAATAGTTTTGCTCAAGTGTATATTAGTTGAAATCTACATAGGAACGCTAATGTACATGTAGTAAAAAACTTCAATGAGGGGCCAGCCTGGTGGTGCAAGCGGTTAAGTGCGCGCTCTGCTGCAGCGGCCCGGGGTTCACCGGTTCGGATCCCAGGCGCGCACCAACGCACCTCTTGTCAAGCCATACTGTGGCAGCGTCCCATATAAAGTGGAGGAAGATGGGTATGGACATTAGCCCTGGGCCAGTCTTCCTCAGCAAAAAGAGGAGGATTGGCATGGATGTTAGCTCAGGGCCAATCTGCCTCACACACACACAAAAAAACTTCAATGAAAAGTAAGATCTAGGTAAGATTCTGCTAGAGTTCTGTTCCCAACGAGTTTCTGGGACACAGTGAACTTCTAATCATCTGAGATCCTTTCCAACCAATTCTACAATTCCTTAATTTAGTAGCTTCTAACTATGAATATTTCAATATATTGGCTTATCAGTTGTAACAAATGTACCACACTATTGCAAGATATTAATAATAAGGGAAACCAGAAGGGGGGTATATGGGAACTCTGTACTTCTTGCTTAATTTTTCTATCAACCTAAAACTGCTAAAAAAAAAAATAAAGTCTAGTAAAAAATTCAGTATATAAATTTGGCCCAATTTCTTTTGAAACATAACATACACAAAGTACACAAACGTTAAGTCTAGACCGCAATGAAATTTCAAAGTGAACCTACTCATGTAACCACTATCGATATCAAGATATAAAACACTACCAGCCCTCAGAAGGCACGCTCATGCTGCCTCCCAATCAATACCCCCCAAAGGCAACTGTTATTCTCACTTCCATCACCACTGATTGGTTATTCCTATTTTGAACTTCATATAAATGGAATTATGTAGTATGTTCTCTTTTGTGTCTGGCTTCTTTCACCCAACATTATGTTTCTGAGATTCATCCATGTTGATGCATCGCTAAGTAGTATTCCATTGTATGAAAGTCACAATCTATTCTCCTGATGATGAAAAGCTGGGTTATTTCCAGTTTAGAGTTTTGTGAACATTCTCGAATATGTGCTGGTGTTCATATGCATTCATTTTATCAGATATATTCCAGATTCTATAACTATTAGGATAAATGAAGTTAGCAAAATCGCTGAATACAACATCAAATTACAAAAACCAACTATATTAATAAATACAGCAAACTGGTATAAACTAAAATTTGAAAAAAATACTATTTATAAAAACATTTGAAAAATCAGATACTTAGGGAATAAACCTTAACTATAGAAATATAAAACCCGTATACAGAAAGCTACAAAACTTTGCTAAGAGACGTGAAAGAAGATCTAAATAAATGAATGTTCCATGTTAATGAATTAGAAGACTTAATATTGTTAAGATACCAAGTCTCCTAAAATTTACCTACAAAGTCAGTGAAATCCCAATCAATGTGACTGAAATGAAATTACAGAACAGTTATTCAGGAAAATAATCCTATTATCTCTTACACACAAAAGAGATAACCACTCTTGATTTAAAAAAAAATGATATTTAAGAGAAACTAGTTAAAATTAATAGACATAATCCTAATTTTACAAAAGAGAAAAGAAGAATCCAGAAAGGATACCTAACTTGGCCAAAAGCTTATGATTAAGAAAAGACCCAAACTCAAGTTTTTGACTTAAAGCCAGTGTTCTTCCTTCTACACCATGCTGCCTTCCCAATTTTGTTTATCTTGGTTCTTCCCAGAGAGTAAAATGGTCCAGAACTAGGAATCTTCATGATATGAACTCAATGTATAAAGAATATTCGCTTAGAATGCTTAGGAATAAAAGTAAATGAGAGCAGAATCCTAAACTTTGAAACACGTTTATGACCGCCCTTCTCTTACACATTATCACTCTTCCCAGGTTTTTTTCTCTCATTATTCTTGGCTTACAAACAATGATTTTTCCATTTTCTTTATTTCTCTTACTTTTATTAATTGGAATTCTACTGTAAAGAAGAATTTCCCCTCCTCCATTTATTCATTTATTCAATTAAGTATGAACCCATGGTTATTTATTTTATTCTATGGGTTATAATCCTTTAATATAATTATTTTTTCTGTGGCTCAAATTGTCCCAGATTTGGTCATTGGAGCTTCAAGTTGTTTCCTATATCCTTTTGACATGTTTCCATCATTTTTTGAGCACTTCCACCAAAACTGGCCATTCTGGGTAGTGTACATTCTATTATATTTTGGGTTACATACATTTTTCTGGCACTCAAATCATGCTATTAACCACACTGAGTTAGAGTTAACCAAAATTCCTAACCATTACTATATTTGCTACTGTCAAAACCATACTTTCCCATTCTATGCTTATACTATTGACTTTTCTACTCAAGTATAGAGCTGTATATTTATCTCAGTTAAATTCCATCATGATAGATCTGGCCCATTGTCCTAACCTCCTGACCTAAAATTAGTAGTCCTCTCAGTTTCCCACCATTAGCAAATTGCACTGGTTGTCTTCTGTGTCTTTACACAAGTCATTAATTCAAATATTAACAGAACAAGCCCTAAGATACAACCCTATGGAATTCATTTATTCATTCATTCAAACCTTTACTGAGAGCTCATTATGTGCCAGGCAGCATGCCAGGCGCTGGGGACAGAAAATCAGATAAACTACAGTCCAAGCCCAGAGGGAGCTGATAATCTGGTAGGGAAGATAAAAATAATGACAGTAAAATATGACACCATGAATAAGAGGAAAGCACCAAAAATCTAATTCATTCTAGACATGTTTTGAGGGTACACGGGGGACTCTATTAGGGTCATCAATGGAGCCCTTTCAAAGGATGTGGTATTTGGCTGTACTATAAAGGTAAATAGGAGTAAACTTGATGAAAATGAGGAGAGAACAGCATGTGGGAGTCAGAATGTCATAGTAGTGAAAAGCATAAACTATGGGGTAATCAGAACTGTTTCCATCTCTGTTCCTTCTCCTGCATGGCCTTGGGCAAACTGCTACTTAACCTATAAAACTGTTTCCTCATCTGCAAAATGGGAACAACAATAGACACTACCTCAGAGAGTTAGTTGCTGGCAGAACTAAATAAGATAATGAATATAAATCAGTTAGCACAGTTCCTTGTGCAGAGTAAATGTCATCATATTGTTTTTAGGAACTAAGACAGAAAGAAATGAAAAACCATCATGTGTTGGGGAAATACCACTTGATCCCCAAAATTGGATCCAAGGGAGAAAGGCTGTAAATAAACCACTCTGGGGGAAGACTTAGACATCTGGTTGATGACTCTTGGCCAGCAAACTGTGAACACACTGCAGGCTTCCCAGGTTTGGGCACATCGATACTGAGACTAGGACCTTGAGTCTGCCTCCCAGGGGTCAGTCTTGGACTTAACCCCAACTACCCATATAGACAGCATAAGCAGGAATGGGGGGAAACAACCTGGAACCACCACATCCTCAACAAAGTGAAAACACACAAACATGAGACTTAATGCTCACTGCACTGCTCACTGCTGGGTAAAACATATAGAGAATGAATGACAGACGGTGTGGTTAAGCTGAAATGGAGTAGCTAAATACTACTTTAGACACTCTAAAATATAACTTCATTTTGGGGGAGTGGGACAAAGCTGTGGACTGGTGAAAAACAAGAGGAAAGTAACAGCTAGACAAAATAAATGCGCTTTCTTCAGAGTAACGGTATCAAGTAGACAGCTACAAAGAAGCAGATCTGCATAGAAAATAGAGATTATTTTTGTATGATGAATGGACAAATTAATCACCATTTAGTGTTTCTACTGCTATCCTTAGATATAAAGGATTAGAGATATATAGTCATGCATTGCTTAACAACAGGGATACATTCTGAGAAATGTGTTGTTAGGCTATTTTGTTGCTGTGTGAACATCACAGAGTGTGCTTACACAAACCTAGATGGTACAGCCTACTACACACCTAGGCTTATGGTACTAATTTTATGGGACCACCGTCATATATGGGGTCCGCTGTTGACCGAAACATCATTATGCAGCATGTGACTGTAATTTACTAATTATTAATTGGTAACATAGGCACTGGTAAAAATACTACTCAATTGTAATGACGCAATACAAAAAAATTAGTCACAAGACAAGGAGAAAAGTTTCCTGTAATGATCTTAAGAGAAAAAAAGAAGAAATGGAATAGTAAGATATATTCTTAATAGTGTTACAACTAATTAAAAATTACAAAAAATTAAAAATTGCTACACTTACTACATGACTGTATTCTCGAAATTCCATTTCCAGCTCCATGCAAGCTTGAGTCAAAACTCTGACTATTTCGCACGGTGACTGGAGAACTAATGTTGCTACTAACGGTGGTTGTACTTGGCATCCGAGCTAGATTAGGCATACTTCTTCGGAGCTTGTCTAGAAGAGACAAAAATTTTACTAAGTTAAAAATCACAAATGTTATGCCAATTAAAACACTAGCTTTCAAAAGTAAATACTAGTATCAATCATACTATGCTCAGTAAAAAATAAAAATCACGTGCGTTATGAATTATATAACAAGCTAAATAAGACTGATCTCCTGTATAGGAAAACACATTATCTCCAGAAAGGTTCCACCACATAGACTGTTAAAAGAAAACACATTTTCTGAAAACACGAATGCGTAAAGATACATGCACCCCTATGTTCACTGCAGCATTATTCACAATAGCCAAGACTTGGAAGCAACCTAAGTGCCCATCAAGGGACGAATGGATAAAGAAGATGTGGTATAAATACACAATGGAATACTGCTCAGCCATAACAAACAATGAAATCCGGCCATTTGTGACAACATGGACGGACCTTGAGGGTATTACAAAATAAGTAAGAGGGAGAAAGTCAAATACCATACCGTATGATCTCACTCACAAGTAGAAGATAAAAACAATAACAAACAATCACATAGAGATAGAGATTGGATTGGTGGTTACCAGAGGGGAAGGGGGGAGGGGGGAGGGAGGAGAACGAAAGGGGTGATTAGGCACATGTGTGTGGTGATGGATTGTAATTAATCTTTGAGTAGTGAATATGATGTAATCTACACAGAAATCAGAATATAATGATGTACACATGAAATTTATATAATGTTACTGAAATAAAAAAAAAAAAGAAAACACATGTTCCATAAAAAGAGGTGAAGATTAGCTAATCAGTTAGCTATTTGTTCCTATACAATAAGTGGATAAAATTGTATCAAAGTGAGGTTAGAAAATAATCTTACAGCCATTTAGTTTTTTTAAAAAAAGAAGCTCTAAAAATTTACATGTTAATAAAAAAAAAAACCTACAAGAGTCAAAACCAACACTTACTGAATCTTTTGCTAGTATATCAAAATAGAAGAAATTATTAAATTTAACTTAAGATGTTTTTGAGATATCCAGTCATCATATCAACATGGCCATGTTCACTTCTGAAAAGTTTTAACTCTCATGAGTATGCCACCAAACCATTGGAGACTTGAAAAAGAGAGAATGCTTCCATTTCTTTCTCCTTGCTAAGGACATCTTCTGCCACCAAAGGGCAGCAGAGAGTCACACACAGATCTCAGTGTTGCTGAGATTAGAAATCAGCTGCAAGACTGCAACTCTACAAGATAGTTTCTTTCTATTAATACATATTCCCCCAAAACTAAAGTATATATATCAGGTCACTCAAGCTCAGAAAACAAAGGATATATTTGACTAATAAGCCAAAAACCATTCAAGTTCAAAACTGGATTCATTTCTTTCTCCCCTTCACACACAGCTCATTCCACATTACTTACATCCATTGATTGTAGCCTGTCCAGCAAGTTACCTAAATCCAGAAGTCTGGGGAATCTCATCAGATTCACCTCCCTTCTTCACCCTCAAACTCCAAATCCTGTCAATTCTGCCTCATAAATATTTAATGAATCTTCCACTACCACCTAGTTTGGACCTCATTATTTGTCACCCACATTTTCACAAAATCCTCTTAACTGGTCTCCATGCACCCCTGTCTTTTTCCTCCAATCCACCTTCCATACAGCCACTTCCACTCTTCCTAGAGAACAAACGCAAGTCTAGTCACCCTCTTGCTTAAAACCTTCCAATTACTCTTCCTCACCTTCATCTGAAAGCCCAAGCTCCTGGGCAGAGCCTAGAGGAGACCCTTCAAGGTAACGGCTCTACATACTTTTCCAGCCTTATCTCCTGCAACCCCCACCACTCAGCCTACTCTCCAACCATAGTGCGCAAATGAAGTTCCCAAATACTCCACGCTCCCTTGTACCGTGAGCATGCTGGACCCTCCACTTGGATACCCTTCCCCACTTTGTGGAATGAGTGAATGAACATGTGAACAAGTATTTATTGTGTGCATACTAGACACCAGGGGCTCTAGAAGATACTGGGGATACCACAGTGTATTTGGTACAGTCCCCAACTCTCAAGTTTATCATCTAGACCAGTGTCTTTCAACCCTTTTTTCCCCACTATCGATCCTAAGGAGAAAAACTAAAATAAATTTAAAATTAAACTGAGTTTCTCCCAAATGGGAGAAATTAAATAATAACATTTTGAAAGATTAGGTTGAACTTTGGAGGACCACAAACCATTGTAATATCTCAGATGTTTTTCACCCTCCCAATTCTATAAGATATTTTTATCTTTATTAATATATATCCCAAAACACTAAAGTATACATATCAGAACACTCAAGTTTGTGGTCGTTTTCTTTCAAGCTCAATCAGAAAACAAATGATACACTTGAATACTAGTCCAAAATGTGTTCAAGGGCAAAACCAAACTCATCTCTTCCCTCTTCCCTCTCATGCACTGCTCATTCTACATTACTTATAGCCATTCATTGTAGCCCTGTCCGGCAATTTTCACCTCCTTGGGGTGGTCTAGGGAAAAGACAGAAAATTCAACAAGTATAATAAGCAGAATTATATAATAAGCATAAGAAAGTATAACAAGAAATTGTAAAGAGCACTACAATAGAAGACCAGAAAGAGAGTATTATATCCACCTAGCTTTTACTAATTCTTTAAGATTTAGCACAACTATCCCCCTCCTTAGAGAAGATTTTCTATATACCACTCAGCTGAGGTATCTACCACTCACACACTTCCTTACTCCCTGTGCATATTTCTAGAGTAATAATGCTCACATACTGCCACTGACTGTTAGATCTCTTGTCCATTTTCCTCATTATCTCCTTGAGGCCTATTTTTAACAAGCATATGTGTCATATTCCCAAATTCCTATTAAAGTTCCTAGACCCAAACAGCAGGCATTTAACACATTCAGCAGATACTATGTGTTGACAGAGGGTGTGTGGTAGGAGTGACGAAGTCAAGAGAAGAGATAAAGTCTAGAGCCTACATCTACATCTTTTGAACATCATACTAAGTGGCATGAAAAAGTGAGCCTCTATCAATACAAGACTAAATTACTTTGACTATATATCTTTAAGTAGCAAGGAGGCATAGGGAAATAAATATATGCTATTAGTCAGAAAATGAATTGAGTTGTTTCATTTCTTTTCTAATTTCCCAACTATTGACTATAAAAGTTTTCATATATATAGAAGTGTTGAAAAGTAGTATCATAACATCTGTAAGTTTTCCACCTAGATATACTAGTTGTTTTCATTTTGCCATATTTAATTCATCTCCATCTATACACATCTGTTGGCTGTTGTTAAGCAAATTTAAAAGCTGCCAACATCTTCACACTTCAACCCTAAATGCCCTCTCCCTGAATTTTAATATGATGCAATGACTTTCATTAAGCATATCAAATACAATGTCTTCCTGATATAATGAGCTTTAAAAAATTAGTCAATGTCATTCTTTAGCTGCCACTGTTTTCTTTTAAATCTGAAATCTGAAGTTTCTCAGGTACTTTGAAATCTATCTCCTAAGAATAAGAAAATCCTATAGAATCACAGTGTAGTCACGACACGTAAACAAATTAGTAGGTTTTCATAATCCATACACAAAATTTCCCAAACATCTCAAGAATGTCTTTCATAAGCTTTTCTCCCATACCACGATCCAATCAAGGATCTATTGGTTGTTATGTCTCTAATCTCTGTTAATCTAGATGCATCCATCTTTAAAACTAATGTTTACTTATATTTAAGCATTAAGTCAGTTTCACAAAGCTTTAAATCTGAAATATGCTCTTAAAAATAAAGCCTTGCAAGTGTAAATATTTAGGACACGAGTCCTCCGGGAGCTAAGCTGTGATTTCTGAGTTGTGTCAAACTATCAATAATATATTAATGGCCATATATACTTTAAAGTTCAAGGAATCAAAAATAATGTTCTACTTCTATCTTCATAAGAAATCAGCAATTTATCTTCAAGGATGGAGATGCAGCAGGAAACTGGAGGAAAAGACACCAAGGGAAGAATTCAAATGAGTTTTCTCTTATTAAAGAAGCATCTAGACTCACCACTCTATGGAACAAAGACTAAGGAATCTTTAGGAATAAAGGAAATACTCAATTACCCACCAAACAGCTAGATCTAGCCTTCCACAGTCAATACAGGGTCCAGGGGAGGTCCTTGAACTAACACTGATTATATCATGCCACCGATGACCCCAGCTGCACCCTAAAAATTACAGTTAGTAAAGATTCTACAAGATTCAGTCAATTTTCATATCTGGCAAATTATTCCAAATATGTTCCTTTTAATTCTATGATCCCCAGAAATAGTCCAAGGACTTTTAACAGCCATCTCTTTTGAACTTAGTCAGTACAGGAGCTATGGAAGCAGTAAATATAATAATAATACAATTACTACACATTTCTGGTTTATCTTTATTTTTAAATGGATCAATTATTTAATAATTATTTTTTCCTATTATCTTAGTAATTTAGAAAAATATTCGATAGATTAGTTTCAAAGTTACTATTCTTATTTCACAATTTTGTTCAAACAATATTCTGTGGTAATAAATGAAGGCTGAGGTATCTGAGCCATATGGTAATAAAAGTTATTTAAAAAAAAAAACAGAGAGAGGGGAGAGAGAACCTTCACTTTTTTAGCACTTTTACTCCAGGCAATGTAACAGTCATTATTTCATTTGTTTATTTCATTATTTGTTTATTCCTTAAAACAAGCTTAGCTTGGGAGAATAGGTACCAGACAATTTGATATGCAATTATACCTAAGTTTTCTAAGAAAGAGATATTACTTGGTCCACATTTTGTAGCCAAGGAAATCAAAGCTTAGAGACATGAGAAACCTGTGAAAGGCGTCAGTGAGGACGAGACTAGAACTCAGTCTACTGGACTCCAGAGCCTGTGCTCTCAACCACTGAGTTAATTAGTAAGAAGTCCAATCCAGAAAACTGCTGTTGTATTCTGTTTTCCGTTCTATGTGGAGACCAGACCTTAGGAAAAATAAAACTGCCACAGTCGGACACTAAGCTGTGATATGTCTCCACTTTCCTAATAGGAATCATCATAGCACAGATTCAGGGAAACCTGATCCTTTTCATAATGGTGTTTAATGTAAGCTAATACCACTTTTCTGAGGTAGGACAATGATCCCATTGACAATACTAATCAAGACGCATAGCTAGCATCTGCTTGACAAGTAGGATATGATGTTCTAAGACACTTAACAAAAAAAAACCTTTAGAGAAACAACTCTAGGTACCCTCTACCCCTATTTTAAATATGATGCTATGACTTTCATTAAGCACATAGAATATATTGTCTTTCTGATATAATGAGCTTTAATAAATTAGTCACTATGACAGTCTTTAGCTGCCACTGTTGTCTTTTAAAATCTTTTGAAATCTGAAGATACTGAAAAAGAGGTAATTATGACTATAAAACTTTAAATATTTTCAAATGATCTCTCAATTAGTATGAATGATAGAAGTACAGAGGAAAAAAAGGTAAAAGCTAACAACATGATAGCAGGTTATCATTAATACAATTCGTATTTGGTGGCCTTGCAATATTTTTAAATAACTTGTTTGATCACTTCTGGGCCCAGCATTGAGAAATGATGCTGTATAATAATTAAAAGCTATAACTCTACAAATATGGTTTGTTTCCCCATATTATATGGGATTTGTATGTGAGGGTCTGACTGATCATTAGTATAAAAACATATCAGGCCTAGAATATCACATGATTATTCTCACTATAGTTCTTGGAAGTCAAGGACCATAACTCTTACGAGTGGGGAAGGAAGATAAATGATGGAGAGAGAGAAAAAAATACAAAAGAGAATGACACATATTCCAACCCACCATGTTGACATCATGACAAATCAACTTTCCATTACCATGCCAAATACCAGCCTCCATATCCCTACTGCTACACAGATCTTAATTCTAGATGTCAGGAAATTAGAGGGAAAGACACAATCCAAACTTCCCTAAATCTGGATGTGCACAAGCTGCATCCTTTCCAAGCATCATCATCCATGCTTACCATCCATCATTCTGTGCTAGGAACAGGCAGTGACAGACTGAAGGTTGCAGGAATGGTGAGGAAAGATGCAAGTCAGTGCCTTTGACTCCATGGGGCTCCACTATGAACTCCTCAACTCGCACAACCCTGCCTGTCCTACAGCTGTACTAGCAACAACATAAAGATGCTCCACATTTATGATTCATTCTGTGCCAGCTGCATCATGGCGGGGTTTCTTTGAAGCTATAAATCTATAAATCTGGGACCCATAATCAGAAGCTGGTTAATTACAGATTTAAATTTAGACCAAACTGATAAGGTCTTGAGGATGTACTTAATAAATCTGTGAAACGTTTACCAATTATTTATATTGAACTTAAAACCATTTTGTGATCACATATGAAAGATCAAAGCACATCAAATACCAAAAGGGCATACAGCCTACCTCCACTGGTCCTATTTGGTTGCTGATCTGGAGTCTGGGCTTGAGGTGAATAATACTGTTGCTGCTGGTAATTAGTTGAAGGAAAATACTGGGAACTGGGGCTCCTCCTACACTCCCGAATGCTGGAGAAAGTCTGTGAATGGGGGATTCCTCTTTGGAAAGGTGAACATCTTGGAAGACGAGGCTGAGGTGGTGGCAAATGATCAAATTCTTCCTCATCTTCCAGACTGAATCGATCATATTCTTGATCACTACATGTCCCTTTTTTTCCTGAATTCAGTGACACACTGGAACTATGTCTTGACACAGATGCTGAAGTAGAAGCATAATCTTGCCTGAGACCTATAAAATAACAAGAAATAGTATTATCTTATAACACATTTCAGTATAGCATGAATTAAGTTCCAATTAATCAAATATTAGAGGAAAATTTTTGCCAAATAAATGATTCAAATGGAGACCCATTATCTTGTGCTTAGTTTATTAAATCCCCAAAAAACATACATTTATCTACCCAACAGATGTATAATATTAGACTATTCTGGTTTGCAAAAAGATTGCCCCAATTCCAATTCCCAATGCCCCAATGCCCAGTATGTGAAGATTAAACATACTGCTACAGTTCAATCAATCATTGTCTATCAATTTCCCCAAATGATCCCTTCTGAAATCTGGAGAAAGACTTAGGAAGACTACTTAGGAAAAACTATCCGTCATCATCATGAATAGTTTGCTGTGAGTTAGATCATTAAAATAATCAAATCTCTGCCCAGGTAGGAATTCCTTCTGCTCCCCAGCCCAACTTTCGAAGTTAAAGGAAAGTTTAAAACCTGGGATACAGTATTTTCTAACAAGGTTACCTCTTTTGTTTTGTTACCAATATTATCTTTTGCAAAGCATACTGACACTTCAGTACCTCAATAGTTTCGAGTCATCCTAAATGACAACCATCTAAAAATAGTCAAACTGAAAGTTTCCAGTTATTCATCTCATTGCCAGTACCATAACTTTTTTTAAGGTAGTCTACCCTGACTACTTAACTTCTGAAACTGACATCTAATCTTTTAGCCATATATTTTTAGAAAGAGTTACTATTACTAAATAATGACAAAATAATCACTTATCCCCTCAAAATGTATCTTATTAAATTCTGCACAAGCATTACCATGTTTGTCATAGTAGCCTTGACTAATTCTGAAAGCAGGAAATCATTATGCTTAAATGATACTTGGCTGTTTCTACTTATGTTGGCCTGAAAAGATAACCCCAAAACAAGCCTGGCCCCATTCTGTGATCTACATCTTATTGTGCCTTTTGATGTCATTAATACCCTTGAAGCCGTTCACTCCCAGATTATTTGTTGTAACTTTATTGCAGAACCAGTGATAAACTGTCCAATTTCCAATGATCTTCTCTTCCATAATTATTTATCCTGGGAAGTATATCAATGCATTTTTAATTGAGTTTTTTATTAAGATAACTATAGACTCACATGCAGTTCTAAGAAATAATGCAGAGAGATCCCTTGTGTGCTTTGCCCAATTTCCCCAATGATAACATTCTGCAAAATTATAGAATAATAAGACGACCAGGATATTGGCAGTGATACAAACCCATCTTATTTAGATTTTTCCCAGTTTTACTCATGTATGTGTGTATGTTAGTATTAAGTTCTACATAATTTTATCACCATAGGATCAAATATCTACCACCAGTGTCAAAATATTGAACAGTTCCAAAAATCCACAAAAATCCCTTGTGTTGCCCTTTAATAAACACACCTAGCTCCCTTCTGAGATCCCACACCTTGTCCCTAACCTCCAGCAACCACTCTCCTCCATTTCTAAAATTTTGTCATTCCAAACTGCTACATAAATGGAATTACATACAGTATGCAGTCTCTTAGGATCATCTTTTTTCATTCCCTGGAGATTCATCCAAGATGTTGCATGCATCAATAGTTTGTTCCTTTTTATTGTGGAGTAGTACTCCATGGTGTAGAGGTATCACAGTTTGATTAACCTTTCACCTACTGAAGGACATCTGAGTTCATTCTACTTTTCGGCTATTACAAACAAAGCTGCTATGAACACCATGAACTGGTTTTGTGTGAACACAAATTTCCATTGCTCTGGAATAAATCCCCAAAAGTGCAACTTGCTGGGCCTTATGGAAATTTCATGTTTAGCTTTTTAAGAAACTGATAAACTGTTTCCGCAGTGGCTACAGCAGCAATGTCTTTACATCAATGTATTTTGATCAGAATATGTCCTGATGCCTTATGATGCTCATGAGAGTGTGAGAAGCATTTAACTGCTCCACCTACCAAGTAGGATAGTATGAGAGAAAGAATCTAATTGTTTGCCCATTACCTGGGGAGAAATGTCTGAAACCTCCCCACCCCCTTTCAAGTGGAAGCCTCTAGTTGTTAAGTTTTCTAGTTTGAAAAAAGAAACGTACTTTCTTCTTGCAGACGAGCCATGATCTGAACGTCAGTGAGGTCCTGTAGCTTATATCCCATGGAGATAGAATCATCCTCCAATTCTGAAGTGCTCAGCTCACTGTCTATAGACGACTGGGGACTGAGAGGGGAGCCCCTGGAGGTGTAACCTAAAAAACAATGGAAATATGTTTATTATTTAGTCTGAAGAACTGACATCTGTATATGCTTCATAATTCATGTATTGACAGTCAGCAGTATTTTTCCTGTTTTCATAATGTCACCAAGAAACTAGCAAGACATCACCATTTAACCGTGAGACGATACGCACATCTTCACATGTTCATAATTCATATATACGAAACCATCTGTTTCCTTTCTTCAAATTCAATTTTCAAAATTTAAAAAATTACTCTGTGCTGTACCCTAAAAAAATTGTTGAGAGGGTAGATTTTAGTAGATTTCATTCATGTTTTCTACCACAATAAAAAAAATTACTAATGCTAAAAGCGGCATCCTATTAGATAAGTATACAATTAAAAGCATGGTATAAGAATACATATCCATGTACGCTTTCAATTAATACTCAGATATGCTTGTCTCTGGTAGTAATTGATTACATAATTTCAAATTAAATTTTAATCTGGCTGGTCCATTTTTTAAGCAGGTATAAACAGCAGTGCTATAAATGAATAAAAATATCGCACATAAAAGGCACACACACATAGAGAAGCATTCACAAAACCTTCATGACTGAGAACAGGGTAGTCGCAGGGGACTTATAGCCACTCATGAAAGTGGAAAAGCAATGGCTCGAGATGAGACAACCAAGGAAGGAAGGACCCAAAGGGAGAAAGCTGGGAGATGGAACCACACCAGTGCCGAGACAAATGAGGAAATGGGGAGCCCTTTACCTCATAAAAAGCTACTATGACTGTTTTTTTCTATGTAGCTCTGGCTTAATAAAAAACCACCAGAAAAATAAAATTTAATAAAACAAGCAATAAAAGGCTTATAACATTGAATCATAATAAAAACTACTTGAATTGTGTTTGACATTTAATTTTGAAGGCACATTAGGCATTTGGAAACGTCACGATATACGTATGCTTTGGCTAACTGGGGAAGACTGCCTACTACACACAAGCGAGAGCAGTAGATTCACGGTGTTAAAATATAAATTAAGGTAGCCCTTTCTGTACCCAAAGTCAGTGTGCACCACAAACTCTCCATTTTAAGATCACCCTCAAGCTTGTCAATGAAAGATGGGTATTTAAGCTGTGTTCAGTGACTGAATTACAAAGCAAGCAGCTAGTCAAGAAGTTGAAATATTACCTGTTCTTTCAGGTGTTAGTATTGCTTGATTTGAGGTTTTAGAGAAGCTGGGAGTATTAATGCCATTGCTATAAGGGCTGAGTCTTGCAACAGGACTATAAGGAAAAGCCAGTGAGACATTTGAAGAGAAGAGACTCCGCCATCGGCTAGCTGTCACAGAAGCAGAAATAAACAGCAGCAGTTAGCTATACGGAAGCAGATGTCAATTTGTCATGGGGGGTAAAGAAAGGGAAGAGGTTAAAAAAAATGAAGAGACAAAGCAACTTTTCCCAAGAATATCTTAACTGACTTCCATTTATCTAAGGGAAAAAATAGGTAACAATAGGCAATTTCTGAATTAGGGTCCTATTTATACCTCCATTAAGAACAATTCAATCAGTCTCAGCTTGATTAAAGCCCATAGGCCTGAAGAACAATGAAAATTTTTCTATTTCCACATTAGAAATGTTTTCTATTTCTATTTATACACAAAGATTTGACTATTTTGTAATAATAGAAAAGGTTAGTGTCAAAAGAACAACTCAACTAGAAAAAAAAGAAACTAGTTAACTTTAGAAATTGTGGGAAATATTCTTTTTTTTTTTTTGTGAGAAAGATCAGCCCTGAGCTAACATCCATGGCAATCCTCCTCTTTTTGCTGAGGAAGACTGGCCCTGAGCTAACATCTATTGCCAATCCTCCTCCTTTTTTTCCTTTTTTCTCCCCAAAGCCCCAGTAGATAGTTGTATGTCACAGTTGCACATCTTTCTAGTTGCTGTATGTGGGACGTGGCCTCAGCATGGCCCGACAAGCAGTGTGTCAGTGCACGCCCAGGATCCGAACCCGGGCGGCCAGTAGCGGAGTACGTGCACTCAACCGCTAAGCCACGGGGCCAGCCTGTGGGAAATATTCTCAATATTAACTATTCACAGTCCTATGTTTTTTCCTAAGTTTAATTTTCAACCCATTTAATATCAGAAAATGTTGATCAAAAGATTTTTTATAGGGCCAGCCTCAGTGGTAGTTAAATTCGGCAAGCTCCACTTTGGCAGCCTGGGTGCAGTTCCTAGGCGTGGACCTACACCACTTGTCTGTCAGTGGCCATGCTGTGGTGGCGGCTCACACACAAAAAGAGGAAGATCGGCAATGCATGCTAGCTCAGGCAAATCTTCCTCAGCAAAAAAGAAAAGAAAAAAATATTTTTTTATAGAAATTTGCTCTCAGATTATGCAAGAAACTTAAAATGACTTGCATTTCTGAAGGGCCTTGAGTTCAAAATAAGGTTTATGGAAAAATGATCTACAAAATCACAGAATAGATCTACAAAACCAAAACTTAGTGACAGCTATTTTAGATGGCAGGTATAGAGATAATTGGTGATCTGTTGATTTTTTTTTAATAAAAATATTTTCCAAATTTTCTGCATTGAATATACATTATTCACATAGCTTTTAAAGGTAGGATTATACATATTATTACTTTAATACCATACAATAATGAATAAAAAGGAATTTTACCTACAATGGGCAGATGATCTAATTCTTACATTATCTCACCTATATTTTCCTCCTCCCAAATTACCAACCACTTGCTATGTCTAAGTTCTTGGGATCATGAAAAAGACCCCAAACTTCAAAAATTTGAGCAGGTCACACCAAACATCACTTACTCTCCCTTCAAGAGATACAAATCACCGTGCCAGTCAATATCCATTTCTCTAAAAAGCAATCATTTAGATGCGTACTAAGCAGGACAAGAGGGAACAGATAAAAAATACATATTAGGGGGTATTGGCCCCATGGCGTAGTGGTTGGGTTCAGCACACTCCACTTCGGTGGCCCGGCTTCACAGGTTCAGATCCCAGGCGCGGACATACACCACTCGTTGGCCGTGCTGTGGGGCAGACCCACATACAAAATAGAGGAAGATTGGCACAGATGTTAGCTCAGGGCAAATCTTCCTCAGCAATAAAAAAAAAAAAAAAAAAAAAAAACATATTAGGTTAAATTTCACTTTAAGCAATAATTCCGTTTCTATTTCCTGGAAATTTGACAAAACTTGAAGAAACAAGTATAAAAAAAGACTGCTTTGAAATGCACTCCCCAGATCACTTTTAATGAGCAATGTTAATGAGCAAACATTTGAAAAGTGTTTAAAATATGGGCGGTGGGGTAGAGAGAAAGCAACTATAGGATGTGGTTAGTCAAGAAAATAATCAGCTCCAAAACCGATCCTTGCAAAATATCATCGAGGTTATTTAAAGAGCAAAATGTTTCCTTCTACTTCAGCAGAATTCTTCAGATAAGTACCATCCCATTCCAATAATTATATAAAAAATATGTTTTCCTTATGTAGGTGAAAGAACTAGGCAAGGAAACCACATATAATTATTATGCTTTCAGAATTCACAAGTTCCATGAAGGGGACACTGACGCAAAGCCAGGTTCCTAATCGACGCCAGTCATGTCACTTATCCAATATATAATTAATTGTGGTTAAACAGCTCTTCTCAATCTGAGCCAGAGCAGACACTTCCAGAGCTGGCACTTCCCCTCCTTTAACTTCCAGATATATAAACCTGATCCCAAAATATACTTTGTAATACATACTAGGTAGCTGTTCTCACATCTTCCAGCTCTATTACTCAAAGTTGCTCATTAAAAATTCTATATATAAAAAAAAGAGATGAATAGTTCTTTGTGACTGCTAACTTGCTTTACAGATGATGTTATTTTATACCAGTCTGATCACTCGCCAGGCAAATTACAGTGACTGCGTGTTCTCACCCCCAGATGCAAGCGACGAGGCATCACAAGTAAACAGCATTCATTACTCTGCACAATAACTACTCTGACCCAGCCTCCCAGCACAATGACACAGTGATTGTGACTATGACAGCAAGAGCCCAACTAAGAACACAATTAGCATCTATTGCAAGAATGAATGCTCTCCACTGTCGTTTGGCATGGAGGCTTTTAAGAAGAGGGAGGAGAATTATTGTGGAGGCAAGCTAACAAAACAACAATGCAATATTAGTGCCCAAGGCTGTGGCGGAGGAGGAGAGGGGAAAGGAACGGAAGCCATCACATCCTAGTTTATTCTTCACTATGTAGCCGAAGAATTGTAAGAATTGTAACAGGAAGCACTTTTATACAGAATAAAACTAACAAAAGCAACTTTTTAAAGGGCAATTTTATCTTTTCCAATTAATTAACTTACTGGATTTTTTTTTCATATAGGGATGTTAAATTATTTGAGAGGCTCAATGATGATCAAAATGACCCTAACAAAGGAATCAGACAACTTGGCTAAAAGAGAAAATGGGTGATAAACTTCTGAACAATAACAGTTAAATTCTCCCATACTCCTACTCCAAAGATCTATCTTATAAGTAAAGAGCTTCTCAAACTAGGAAGTGCCATGAACTATGTATTTTTTGGTTAAATCCAACCCCTAGAATAGCAGAGTTGGGCCCAAACATAACGACGCATGGATAAAACGTATCATACTTGGCAAGGTTTTCATTCCCAAATACCTTAACCTAAACTGCCTCCCAGGAGCCTACTGTCTGCATGCTCTCGGTGCTTCTCCCGCAACATCTGTAATCAAGACACTCGCCACCTCTGCCTAGATCACTGCAGGCTATTCCTCACCAAATCTCCAGCCACCAACACTGCCCTCAGCAAGCCTGTTCTGAACATCACCACCAAAGTTGTGTTATATATTATTTTAACTGTGTCACTCTCTTCCATTCAAGTGCTGCAATGGCTTTTCATCAAATACGACATCTGAAACGTACTCCCAATCATCTCACTGGCGCCCTTACCTACTGCCATACAGCTCATGCCAAACTCTAGAGTGTTTCTGAAACTTCCTTGTTAAGAACACACTTGTACTGGTTAAACTTTCTACTTTGCCTCCCTTGTCTAATGAGCATTTTCTATTGAAATGAATGAGATAAAAAAGTACTAAGTTGTGGACTGATCCTTCATCTTTCTACAAAAACATAATTTGAGAGTGCCCTAATGGTCCATTAATTTATTTTTTGTACATCTTCAAAGTTGCCTGACTTAAAAAATAAATTACAATGTCTTTGTATAGTTATTTTTATACACCATTAATTATGACCCCTCCAAAAAATAAAACTCAATTTGATAAATGCTCCAGTGATGACAACATCAAGAAAAATGACAAAGAATAGGTGACAGAATAAGTTTTAAAAAGATTCTAAAAATCTCTTTAATACTTCATACTGAAAATTATTCTTTTGACAATGAAGAAGTTCCCAGAAACAATGGCATTCCAACTACGCCTTGATCATCTTTTGTCTAGACTTATAGTAAATATGGTCAATATTCAAATTTTTGTATAATATGTATTATGTTCTCGCATATAATCAAAATCAAATTTCAGAAAACAGTATGACTTAATTCACATAAAAGGAAAAAGAATAACACATCAAAAAAGATCTAATAAAAATCTTAGTGATAATCCTCAAAAGATCAGTACTCCATCACACTAAAAGAATTAAAAAATAAAGCAACACTATAATATATTCTGGAAACAGTCATTTTCCCACTTTCTTCTCACTATAAAGATAGCCAGTTCAGTACCTAATCCAATGTCTATCACACAGTATGCAATCAATAAACGTTAAATATGATCAAAATCTTTGCAAATTCACTGATATTTCCCTACTTGAAACCATTCTACCATTCCTATTGACATCTAAATGATTTTTCCCAATATCTTAAACTTAATATAATTTAGTATAATCTTTGAAGACAAAGGTTAGTCTAGACATTTCAACCCAGCTAGAGGCTCAATAAAGAAACATACCTGTAGGAGTGCTTCGTTAATATTTCCTACAACTACTAAGTTGTTGAACTTTGTGTGTGTGAATCTGCTGGTTTCTAGCTAAATGATTTTATATTACTAATGGCTAGGACCTGTGATTGGGTTATGTAACTGATGCATCAAGATTAAACAGGAGTAGTATTCCATTGTGTATATATACCACATCTTCTTTATGCATTCGTTCCTTGATGGGCACTTAGGTTGCTTCCAAGTCTTGGCTATTGTGAATAACGCTGCAATGAACACAGAGGTGCATGTATCTTTACGCATTGGTGTTTTCAAGTTCTTTGGATAAATACCCAGCAGTGGAATAG